AGCTCAGGATTTATGGTTGAACAAGGCTTCCTGTGGTCAAATTTCACAAACAGGCCAAAGAGGCTGATCGAGGGAGCTGCCCTGGTTTTCCCCAGCTCTAGATTTCCTTCTTGGACTCAAATTAAGAAACAGGATGGTACCCACTTCCAGGGCCCTGCCAGGTGGAAATTCAAGGGTGAACTTCCAAAGGGAAAAGGAAGCAAGATCCTGGGTCCCCGTGGGGTTTCCCCCAGACGAGCTCTAAGCTCCTGGAATGAGGTCAGAAACCAGCTCTCCAGCTGGCCCTAGTGCAGCTAGCCCAAGGCTACAAGTATTTTCTGTTTCAAGAGAATGGGTTTGGGAAAAAAAAGAGAGAGAGGGAGAGAGAATGGGTTTGGAGAGCCTTCTCTGTGGGGGATGGATAAAGTGGAGAGCCAGGAAGAGCCAGCCACACATTCCTGTACCTGAAAGGCAGGTGTGAATAAGTCATATGTCTCTTGCCCTTTTCCTAAACCTCTATTCTCACCTCACTCCCTAAGCCTTTACCTTAGGGCTAAACAAAGGGGTTTACTGCTTCATTTCTACCCTCCTCTACTACTCCATCACCTGACTACTTCATTGTCTCCTTCCTTCCTTTCCTTTCTTTGGTAATGGCATTTGATGATTGGAATCAGATGTCCTCGGTTTGAATCCCAGTTCGGCTTCCTATAAACTCTCTGACTTAGGTGAAATCATGCCCCTTCTCTTAATATCAGTTTCCTCACCTAAAGGGGGATAGTATCTATCTTCTTGGATTGTGATGATTAAGCAACATCCTATAGGCACTTAATAAGCAGAAGATATTTTCTCACAAACACTAGATCATGTGAATAATCAATGGACCAGGGGCATTTAAATATATATCTGTTGAACGGAACTGAGATGCCTAAAAAAATGGGGTGGGGAGTAGAGATGAGCTGAACTGGAAAGCACATAAGACAACTTTGGGTCTTAACTCCCAAGTTGGAGTCCAAGTGAATTGTTTACAGTGTTTCCAAATGATAATGGAAATCATGTATTTACTCTTCATAAAGCCTCATGTCCCTTAACTTTTGTTTGGAATTGGATCAACTCACTGATAGCACAGCTATCACATGCTGTTCAGAAATTCTGATTGGCAATTTATGGGTCTTTGATACATTTTTTAAATGGGAAAATAATTAATGAGAAGGTGGATTAAATGTTGGATAATGTTAATCTTATTCAAATCCTCATTTCATTATCAGGAAACCTGAGTTTTAAAGAAGGAAGTGGCTTGCTGGTCACACATCTATGAAGTGGTAGAGCAGACCCAAAACCCAGGTTGTTTTCCTGAAATCAGTTACTTCCTGCCGAGTGTGGTGCTGCACGCCTGTGATCTCAGCACTCAGGAGGCTGAGGCAGGAGGATCGCTACAAGTTTGAGGCCAGCCTGGGCTACATAGTGAGTTCAGGGCCAGCCTGAACTGCAAAGGGAGACCCTGACTAAAAAAAACAACAATAAAATAAATAAATGAATAAATACAAAAAACAAACTAAAATCACTTACTTTCAGAGAAAGGGGACCTAGTATCAATGAAGTTGAGACGTTTTGGTCCCCTGGAACAGGAATAAAGTATGTCATCATTTGGCTGTTGTCTTTCTCTGTTCTTGACTCATTCAGCAAATATTTACTTTTGTCCACTATTGAGACTCAGAGAAGGCAGCAATAACATAATCATGGTGTCAGGCAAGGTCCCAATTTGGTCTCAGGTGTGATTTCAGAACCTGTGCTTTTTTCCATTGCATACTTACTTTTATTTTTAAAGACAGGGCCTCGCTTGTGGTGTAGGCTGACCTTGAGCCCAGGCTGGCCTCGAACTCAGAGCGATCCTCCTACCTCAGCCTCTGGAGTGCTGGGATTACAGGTGTGTGTCACCATGCCCAGCCGGATACCCACATTATAAGACACCCACTGCTTTCCCATCTAATATAGTTACACTGTGTCTGTGGATAGGAACTGTCTCATATGTGTTCTCACCTTCCCAGCACCCAACAGGCGAGAAATCAATGTTGTAGTGTTTGGAAACATCTGAATTCTAATCCTAACTGTCCACTAACTCTGTGTCTCTTGGACAGTATATGTCTACTCTTCGTTGGCCCTTAGTTTCTTTTAGTTTTTAAAATTAATTTTATTGGTACATTTTAGGTATACAGTATAATGACGTTCACCATTGGAAATTTGCACCTTTACATAATCTCTCTTGGTTCTTATTTTTTCCCCATTCCCCTGCCCTCCCTTCAACCCCTCCATCCCTCCCTATTTACAA